AATGTTTGTCTGTATGTCTGCACCACGTGTTTGCCTGATGCCAGAAGAAGGAAGAAGAAGGTGTTGGATCGGCAGATAGGTGAGATTATAAAGAAAGATGGTATCATGATTTACAGTTCTGGAAACATAAAACTAAGGGACCGCATCTGGAGATGGCCTTCTCAGTGACCAGAGTCCTGAGATGATAGAGGGTCCCAGGGACAGAGACAGGTGGCACACATGCAGGCATATGCCTTCTGGTTTGTCCCTCTTCCTATAACATCAGTCGGGTTCGAGCTTGGGGTCTCCACCCTGGGTACCTTATCCAATCACCTCCCTAAGACCCCTCCTCCTCTTTCCCTCCTCTTCTTCTTTTTCCAGAATCATATCTTTTGTAAGGCAAACAAGTCATTATAGTCTAACTCCATCATCTCACAGATGACCTGACAGAGGTCCCATGAGGAATTGGGGGCATTTAAAAGATATGTGTTTATTTTTATCTTATGTGTATGGGTGTTTTGCCTGTGTTGCAAGAGGGACCGCTTGTTGGTTCCTGGCTGTCCGGCTAACTTGGACCCAAAATAATCACACAGAAACTGTATTAATTAAAACACTGCTTGGCCCATTAGCGCTAACTTCTTATTGGCTAACTCTTATATCTTAACTTAACCCATTTCTAATAATCTGTGCACCATCACAAGGTTGTGACCTATCAGCAAAGTTTTAGCAAGTCTGTCTCCAGCGGCTCCATGGCTTCTCTCTAACTCCACCCTTCTTTCTCCCAGTATTCAACTTAGTCTTCCCAGCCAGCTAAGTTCTGCCCTATCAACAGACCCAAAGCAGTTTCTTTATTTATTAACCAATAAAAAAAAACATAGACAGAAGGACCTCCCACACCATGCCTGTATGTATGTTTTCCTGGTGACGGCCATCCTGATGGTGGCAAGAGAATTTCAGTGTGGTTTTGAATTGTATTTGCTCAGTGGCTAAAGACATTGAGGATTGCTTAATGTATTTATTGGTCATTTTTAATTCTTTTGTGTTGTCTATTCAGATCATTCACCCGTTTACTAATTAGATTATTTGTTCTTTTGTTATTTTTTGAGTTCTTTATATATTCTGGATGTTAGTCCTCTGTCAGGTAGATGTTGGTTAAGATTTTTCTCCCATTTTGTAGGCTGTCCATTCATTCTGCCAATCATTTTCTTTGCTGTGAAAAACAAACTTTGGAATTTTTGCAATTCTTTCTACCGTTCTTGCTTTTATTTCTTGAGCTATGTGAGCCCTCTTAGAAAAATCACCCATGCCAACGTCTTTATATGTTTCTCCTGTTTTTCTTTCTTTCTTTTTTTTTTTTTGAGACAGGGTTTCTCTGTAGCACTTTGGAGCCTGTCCTGGAACTAGCTCTTGTAGGCCAGGCTGGTCTTGAACTCACAGAGATCCACCTGCCTCTGCCTCCCAAGTGTTGGGATTAAAGGTGTGTGCCACCATCGCCCGGCTTCTCCTGGATTTTGTAGTTTGAAATTTTCTGGTCTTATATTAATACTTTAATTCATTTTGAATTGATTTTTGTACAGGGTGAGAGATAGGGATCTAGTCTCGGTGTTCCACGTGTGGGTATCACACTTTCCCACCAGTGTTTGTTAGTGGGCTGTCTTTTCTCCACCTTATGTTTTTGGCACCTTGGTTGACAACAGGCTGAAGATGGGTAAGTTTATTTCTATGTCCTCTATCCCACTGGTTTACATGTTTGCTTTTCTGCCTACTCGACTGATTATTTTTTTCTTTTTAAACTCTGACTCTAGGATATTTTGAAATCACCTTTGTAACCTCTTCAGTATTTCTCATTTTGCTTAAGACTGTTCTGAATGCTTCCAAAGGCCCCAGGTCTAACCACCATAGTTGGATTAAGTTTCTACCCTCTTATTTACCTCACCATGGGGATAAAATTTCAACATATGAACCCTTGGGGGGCACACATTTAAAAATATCCAAATCATAGTCCCCTTGTCTCTTATTTCATAGACTCTAAAGAACCTGAACATTGTAAGTCATTCGCCATGGTGACAGTGAGTCTGTGTTAAGATAAAAATGGAACCATGCTAAGGAAGATGCTCGGGACCTGTGCTCAAAGACAAGACCTACATCACACTCTCATGTGACTCCAGTGATGGGAACCTCAATGTAGATGGAAGGGAAGATGGTAGATGCACACATGTTCTAGAAGACTTAGGACTCAAAGTTGCCTTTGCAATCTCATTCCCAAGCTCTGCTTCTGTCCTCGTAGAGACACGTGGCACAGTAGAATGCCAAGGTGGCAAAACGTGACATCCGCCAACCATCCCTCTCTTCTGCCCCCTCTACTTGGATGGCTTGTAGTTACCTTAACGTAGCATTCCAGGCAGCCACTTCTGTTGGCTACACTTGTTGAGAGGGTTTAGAGAAACCTGCTTGCTACTCTCTGTCTTGATAGAAGTAGGTAATTAAAGAGTGACTGAGCCTCCGATTCCTTTGATGTAAAAAGGAGAAAATGAGAATTCTTTAGGGTATTCCTGAAGAACTGAGGACAGTGCATGCTACTGTCCAGCAGATTCCAGCTGTAGGAACACGCTTGGTCACTACAAAGGTAATCACTGGGCTGTCACTGCGGGTGTAGAAGGCAGTGATGCCAACCGAGCACACCGCATTACCAGGCAGTCAGGGACTGTGGAAGAAGGAGGCTCTTGGCCTCTCTTTGCTGCCTGTCTTTATTTTGTGAGATCACAGCCCAGAATGGATATGCCAAGTCTAACAGGCATGAGCAGCCCTGCGCAGGAATACTGCTCAGGGCAACAGTTCCTACTTGCTGTCTAGCTCTTGGCCCAGCAACTTAGGAATACCAAAGCCAGGTGAACAGTCTCTTTCCACAGTGTCCTGGGTCTGGCTCTTCCGTGTATAGGCTGCAGGGCTGAAGAAGGTCCTCTGTCCACGTCAACTCGCACCATCTAGAAAATAACCTGATTCCAGGGACCAGTGATGCAGTGATGGATTCGCTGGTCTCTGTTACGTGTTCAGGAGAGTCAACCTTTTAACGAAGGCTGTATTTGTTTTTAAAAATCTTTCTGTGCAGAAAGTGGGGATGCTTTAATTTTTTTATTTTGTGTCGCTGGCCATTTAATACGCATCTTAAACGCCTCTGGGTATGTCGTGATTTCTGTGAAATGTAATCTCCCCAGGGCACAGATTTCTGCTTCATTTACTTTTTAGAACACCCAGAAAAGGGCCGTGAACAAGCAGCTTTCGAATCCGTTTACATGCCACCATTGTAGAATGAACCATAAACCAGGTCCCCTACTTGTAAAAAGGACTGCACTGCTGTAAGACTAGAAATCTAAGATGTTTTCACTAAAGCATCATTGAATGTCCTGTGTAGTACATGTAGATAACTATTTATTTATTTTAATTTTAAAATCATAACAGTAGATGACTTTTTAAAAATCTGACTCATGTTAAAAAAAAAATCCCAAAAAGCATGTAGAAGAAAAGAAAAAGTCATCTTTAATTCCCATGTGTAAAGCCAATCATTTCCAGTATCTCTGTATTCTGCCTATGTGATTCATTTAAGACTTCCAAATTTTCTCTCCGTCTGTCAGCAGCGATGCCATGTTGTTTCCATGTAAGAACTACTGTCCTGCTGGTTTTCAATGTGTAAGTGCAAGGAAAGGGCTTGCCAGAAGTTGCTCGCGGCTTACTGCCTCAAAGGCAAGCTATGTTACTATGGAGGAAACTTGGATTCATCCAGGGCACCTGTTCTCTCAGAGCCAGGTGACCCACCTCTGACTGTCTCTTCAGGATTACGTCACCCACCAAGGCAACTTTCTGTTTCATTCAGTGATGTCAAGAAACAAAACACCACCCTTGACGTGAATCAGTTTTGGAAAATAGAGACTGGCTTTATATTCCACGGCTTTGATGTGCTTAGTCGTTCCTGTAAGAATCTGCCTCTCTTTGGCTATGACTGACAAGGCCTTCCCTATATATTTGAGTAACCAGGCAGCCTGATAACAGAAGACAGAGACACTTACTTATGCAGAGCAAACTTTTCCCACTCGTTGCAACTTTTGAAGGAAGTCTTAGCTCCAGCAAGCTCAGGTAAGGTCCTCTCTGTCTCTCACTTCCTTCTTCCCATGGGGAAGCCCACAGAGGCCACCTGTCAACATACCAGCCAGAACCGTGAGAACAGCTTCAGACATGTGGCTCGTCCTGAGTGGCACTGACCTGGTGGCGTTTCACAAATACGACATCCAGGTGTGTTCTGTTCAGTGGGTCAACCACGAAGGGCCCCGTTCTGCGCTACTAGAGCACCAGAAAGGGCCAAGGACCAGAGGGGGCAGACTCTGAGGTAGATCGTGACTAGCTTTCCATCATTTGCTGCTAAACTGAGTCACACTAGAGCCTTTGCACAGCAGGAGCACAGAGCAGATGTGATCTCTAAAGAGTAGAACACATTTTATGAGTGGCTACCACACCGGGCCCCCGGTATTATAGTATCTTCTGTATGGTAGGTTTTATGCTTATTATTAATTTATTATTATTAATACTTATCTACCTTCCCCATTCATTCCCCATCCAATACAAATGTGTGTAAAGCTCCTAACTTGACATACATTCCCTGAAGCTGGAGAAGAAAGAAGGTGTGTGTACTCATGTATTGTTGTGGGCTGGGCATTTCTTTGGCTGCTACTCTTATTTTTCATTGGGATGAATTCCTTTCACATACAAGTCAGCTCCAGGAGCTGGGGTTCACCAATGAAAAGCCTGAGACCATGTTTTGAGGGTAGGGTGTCTAGAGAGAGGTACTACGTATCTACTGGTACTAGTTAGGAAGATGCAGTTGGAGCTGGACAATTGCTTGGCTCATTTGTTTTTTCCTGTAATGCTTAGAGCAGGGTCTCTCTTAGAGTGACCAACACACTGTGGGCTGCCTCACTGTGAGCAGTTGGGTATGTTCATCTTGTTTCCTTTCCCTCCTTGGGACTAGCATGAAGCTGGCATACCTTGTCCTTGGTGCCACGACTCTCCTCCTTCTGGGTGGCTGTGACTCTGTCCTCAGCACCTCCAATGGGAACCTGCATACCTTTGTGGGCTGTGCTGTGAGGGAGTTCACATTCCTAGCCAAGAAGCCGGGCTGCAGAGGGCTTCGGATCACCACTGATGCCTGCTGGGGCCGCTGTGAGACCTGGGAGGTAAGTAGTCCAAAGGGCTTGGATGGCAGTGTCCTTGAGATCAAGGGTTCACTGTTTCATGACTGAGGAGATGCTGGGACATCTGCCCTGTCCTCTGTTCTTTAAAAACCCGATTGCACTATTATTTGGTTCATCCAAGATCTGAAAACCATGATGGGGCTCCTCTCCATAGAGCTGGTGAGATTGGGGATGAAATTTCCATGCTTCTGCATGTTTGGGAGCCGTCTCTAGGAGGTCAGGTGCTACTGTAGAGGTCACAAGGAAGGATTCGGGGGGGGGGGCACTGCAAAATCAGAGACAATCAATGCAAAGTTGAAAATAAATCACTGGCCCAATCTGTGCCCACAACTCCTTCCTGTATTTCCTCAGCTGTGAGGAAGTCAGGCAGGTACCCAAGAGAACCTGGAAGTTTAGGCCTAGTCCTAGGCTCTGCCGCAGCTCTTTTCTCTTAGCTCAGTGACAGGTCCATCCACTCCATTTGCACTCAGTATGTCTAGCCTTTCACTTAGAGTGGGTATACAAATCTCAGAGCTGGCTGAACTGGGGAATGTGTTCCGGATGCCTGGCTGCACTCACCTCTTGCTAAAATAGTGACTCCTCATAACCTGGGCTTCAAGATGCCAGATTTAGTAAAATTGAAGCCAAACCAACTGCTCCTCTGGCAAACTAAACAAACAAACAAAAACACCACCAACCTCCTTTCCCCTCAAACTCCACAATCTGAAGAGAAGTCAAATTTAAAAAATAATTCAGGAACTTGGATAACTTGAATTTCAGATCAATAACACTTTATTCATTTGGTGCACGTCTGCCCCAAATACTGCATGGGACAGATTTACAAAATTAAAAAAAAATGAAATGCAAAGTTAACTGAGTACCTGATTTTCCTAGAATCCGGAATACTTTGAGTTAAAGGACACAGCATAGAGAGAGGAATTGGGATCCTCTACCTGGTTCTTGGAGAAGGCAAAGTTACTATTTTTGTAACATTGAGGCAAGAACTTCATCTTGAGCTGGCCTGCTTGTCATCTGTAGGCGTATGTGTGTATACATACCTATGCATGTATGTACTTATACTCTAGATATGTGTGCATCGTCACCTATTTATCCTATGTTTCTATGTACCTGTATGTGCATGTACCTGCGTATGCATGTATCTGTATATGTATGTGCCTGTGTATGGATGCATGCATTATCTATCTAATCTCCCTTCCTACTCTGTCCTTTGTAAGACTGTCGTTATTGCATTCATTATTACATCCTTATAAATGGTAATTGCACTCGTAAGAGCCATGATTACATGTACATTACACACATCACCTCATCTAGCTCCATGACAATGCTCTCAGGTTGGTGTTTTGCTTTATAGGAAAGAAACCGGGGCTTGGAAGCAATAAGGGCGTCCCTTAGGTCTCCAGTCGTGGTAAAGCAGGCATGCACAGCAGAGCTGACTGTAGGCTTCAGGTTTCTCACTCTTGATCTTTGTACTTCCTCTAACAAAATTATCCATGAATTCAAGGTTTATAAGAGGTGAAGGAGGATGTGCACAAACCCTCCAGTCATCAGAACAGAGTACCAGGAAGCCACCTGGCTCCGCTCTCTTTTGTTGGTTTAGTAACAAGTAGTTATTGTGAATCTCCTGGGTGCCAGGCTGCCTGGGTACCAGAGCCTGGTGGCTGACCTAATGGAGCTTGCTGTCTGGATTAGGAGCACTGTCACACAAAAGTGAGATGTGGAAGATGGCATCTGGAGTGAACAAACACAACAAGCCTGAAACCAAAACCAAGCAGGAAGGGGGAAGGAGTTCCAGGCCATGGGGGTGGGTTGAAGGAATTGAAATAGGATCAGGAAATGCTTCTCCCGATGGGTTGACATTTGAACAAAATCCGAAGTTGGTGAAGGAGGTGTGTGTGTGTGCGTGTGCATGTGTGTGTTCAGGGCAGAAGGACCCTCAGTTCCTGGTTGATTTGAAGGAGGATAGAGAATGCTGTGCCTGGAGACTGGAGAGGGATGGCCAAGGTCGGGACTACAGCTCACATCAACAGGAAAATACAGATACAATGGACAAGGACTTGAGAAGAATCCAGATGTCTTTGCCATTTTAACTCGGAGCGCGGGACGGGAGATGACTGGGGCTTTGAGAAGAGGTGTGCCATGACTGACTTGTATTTTACAAGGCTCACTTGTGTTGTAAACAGATTGTAGAGGAAAACGGTGGGAGAGGGGAGACCGGTTATTTGCTGGCTAAATATTTACCAAGTGCTTCCTGTGTTTCCTGGACTTCCGTGGAAACTCAGGCTATGGTAGTGAGCAAAGAGGCTTCCAGCTTGCAGGGGTTTATTCGTGGTGGGAGAAGTCAGAGAAGTAAACAATCAGTAGTGGATGGCTCCAAGAACAGGAAGCAGGATGCAGCATTCTAACGGGTTTCCTGTGTTCTACCTGCGGGGACAGAAACCCATCCTGGAACCGCCCTACATTGAAGCCCATCACCGAGTCTGTACCTACAACGAGACGAAGCTGATGATTGTCAAGCTGCCTAACTGTGCTCCTGGTGTCAACCCCTTCTACACCTACCCGATGGCTGTCCGCTGTGACTGTGGGGCGTGTTCGACGGCCACCACTGAGTGTGAGACCATCTGAGGCCAGTATTGTCTTCAGAACACACGGGTGGCTCGAGTGAGCCTCACAGATGCCCTTGCCCAGGAATGTATCTGCTCTAGCTCCTGCCTTCAAGTACGGTTCAGTATGGGCCAGCCTGTCTCCTGCCTGGCGCAGGTCTTCCTCTTCCCAGTTTCAGTGGTGTGTGTCCAGGTGCAGCACACTCAGGCTAAAAATGTCAAGCAATATTGACCCTTCCCCAGGATGGTGTCTTTGGTTCATGTGTCTGTAACTTAGGGTTTCTTTGCCTGACTTTTGGAGCGGGATTTGTATATTACAACCCTCCCTCGGTTTTGATTGACACCATGGTGTTTATTTAAAGGAACTGGGTATCATTAAGAGACAGGAAGCCTCTAAGTTTCCACATTCTGCCATTGAACTCCAACTGGATTTATGATTAAAGGGCAAAGTATAATCAAAACCAATGCACTTTCTTCCTTGCTCAAAAGAAAACCCAACCATGAGTGTTCTTAGAGAGACGGCTCTGCTTCCCTTCCGACTGAGCAATTACCTAGATAAGAGGTAAAGACAGTACTGCCTGCTACAAAAAAGGTGTTTGGAAGTGGGTATTCCTCTCCTAAGGAAAATTCCCTCCATTTCTTTAAGATCCTTATTGAAGTGTGCACTAGCCAGTTAAAACAAAACAAAACAAAAACAAAACAAAACAAAACTAAACTCACAAAATGCATTTAGAAACTATCAGTTAGGTTTAAAAATACTAGAGACTAAATTCATGGCTCGAGTGTTTTCCCGCACCCACAGGGGAGTGACCAGTTACAATGACCCTGCCTGTTTAGTGTATCTTAAACGTAGATGGCAATTTATTAGACTTGGAATCCGGAATGTTTGTGAGGTGAGACTGCCCTGCCAGCTCCCAGGAGAGAGGCTGTGCTTGTCTGGCTTTCGCTTTTGCTAAAATCGAACAGCAGCTGATTCTGGGACCTTCTTTTTCAACTCAAATTCTATGCACACGATTTTAGTTTTGACATTTTGGGGCTTGAGTTTAACTGTTCTTTTTTAGACTATGCCAGGAGCATCTATACTGGTGTCAATAACGTGTCCTCCTGTCGTCTGAATTCACGCAAACTTTTAGAAAAGTCTTTCTAGTTTTTATTTTGCTTGGTATAACAATAAAGGCACTTGGAACTTTGAAGTTCTTTGATTGACATTCATTTGGAATTTCATGTTTAGTAAGGGACACAGAAGACTTGTGGTAGCATGAGTCCCAGGGTCCTGTCATCTGCAGCCCCTGTCGGGCACAGCTGTGAGCCCTGAGTGTTCCGTTGATGGAGGAATCACTGAGTCCGTGAAAATCTACAGAGCAAAGGTCGAGACTGGTGATCAAGCCCTGGGATGCTGGGGGTGAAGGTCTGGGACAAAGGACTGGAGCAAAAACCACTGCAAACTGTAGCAGCAGATGTGTTGGTAGAAGAGAAAGTCCTTGCACAGAAAGCCATTGGTTGGTTGTTGTCTCTCCTAGGAAGGGGTGCTGCTTACGGTTGGCTTAGGGGTTTCCTTACATTTCAAGGAGCCCTCCTCTTTTTTTTTTTTCTGGGGCAAAGCTCTTGCCAGAGTTTTGGGAAAGATGGGCACAGCCTTAGTAACAACTCTGACAGGAAATAAATAACACATTTGACCAGAGGAGAAAGAGTGACACACTTCACCTGTGCTTTGGAAGTAGTGGGCACCCTTAGGGTGCTGTGATGGGAAAGGCTGCGACTGTTAAACACCAAGGCAAACACAGGAGAAGAGCCAGTTGCCCAATGGGAGCTGTGTTCATTGGTAGGAGGCACAGCTGTTGGCCAAAGTGAGGCATGGGGGAGGGGGATATCCCAGCCTACACCAAATGGGAATATTAATTGGTAGAGACTGAGAGTACCATTGATTTGGTCCTCTATAAACTCTGGTCTTCTAGGAAGCAAGTTGAAGGAGGGTAAGAAATGGATCTAAGGATAATGGCCATATGGCTTCTTAGGTAGGGTTTTTATTGCGGTGAAGAGACCCCACGACCACGACAACTCCTATAAAGGAAACATTTAATTGTGGTGGCTTGCTTATAGTTTCAGAGGTTCAGTCTATTATCACCATGACGAAGAGCCTGGTGGTGTGCAGGCAGAGGTGCCGCCTACATCTTGACTTGCAGGCAGCAGGAAGTCAACTGAGACACTTGGTGGTATCCTCAGGACACTTCAAAGTCTGCCCCCATGGTGACATACTTCCTTCAACAAGACCATACTCACTCCCACAAAGCCATACATTCTCATTAGTGCCACTCCTTATGAGATTATGGGGACCAATTACATTCAAACTTATCACTTGATAGTTTGTGTTTGGGGAGTTTCAGCTACAATGTGCAGCAGGCACTAATGGTGGCTGTCAGGACGATACGTAGGCTGTAGTGTCGTGATGGCTCATATTTCCCTGATGGGAACTGCTGTGGGACACACGGAAAGGTCTGTGCCCACTAATGTCGGAGAGATATGAAGGCGGGATGATGGTAGTTACAAGGACTCTGACATTGGTTGATTATTAAGTATAACCAAAGGCCTTTGGGCGCGGTGTAGAAGCTGCATTAGAAGAGGCAGAGGGGAAAACCAGATCCATGATCTAACTGGGAGAACAGTCCAGTCGTTTAAAAGACTGACTCTCCCAGCACGGTTCTTCTGTTCTCACTCATGGTCCTAATAGGAAGGAGAGAGACAGACACAGAGGCAGCCTAGAATGGCAACGAGTAGGGGGATGCGCTTGATGACCTCCTGTAGAGGGGCCCACTGGCTCCTCCTTGCCAGAGGACAGCGGATTCTACTAGCTGGAAGGTCACTTGGAGGACTTAAGGTGGGCAGACATTGTTTTATTATAACTGTCTTCTCAACTAGTGTCCATGATTCCTATAGTTTGGTACTCCTGCCTGGGCCTCCTAAACGCTGGGTTTTTAGGCATGTGCCATCACACCCATATTTTGTGGTGCTGGGATATTGAACCCGGGGCCTTGTGCCCACTAGAAAAGTACTTCGTCAAATGAGCTGTAGCCCCAGTCCCTACAAATCCATATATTCCTGATGATAATTAGAGACAAGACTTGCTTTCTGGCGGCGAGGAATGGAGGTCTTTACTGAAGGAGCTACGGGATAATGCAAACCGGAGGGAGGGGGAGAAGGTACTGGGCACTGGGTGTGGAGCTGGCTGATGAGAATACAGACAAATGGGGGGGGGGTATTTAGGATGTGTAAGTGTAAGAACAGTCAGAATTTGTCCTGGTGTGCTCTTGGGATGGCCCCTGCAAGCTTAAGGCAAATTGTGGCTTCTATCAATGAAGAGGAGAGGATTTAACTCTGCTGACGGAGTACCGAGGAGCCAAAGATAAGCATAAGATGGGGTGTTATCCTATAAAACCGGAGGGCTCTCCAGATGTCTCTGTTCACCTGAGTGGTTCAGAAGACACTCTCTTTATCCAAGAACCAAGGGCTGCTTCAGCCAAGGGCACACCTACCACAGAAACGTTCCATCCTGCCTGTCCTCTGTAGGCCAGGGGAAGCTGCCTGGGAACTCTGGGCTTCTAGGTGTCAGCAGAGGAGACAGGTCTTTGCAGAGCAAGAACGATCTTGCTGCCATTGCAGACAACAGAGCTACAGTGGTGACTAGAGGCCTGTGACCTGTAGGGTTTTGTGGTCCTGCCCAATAGGCAGTGGAGTTGCTAGTCCATGGTATTTAAAAAAATTGCAGTAGATATGTAGTATGATGAGGAAATTTACTAATGAAAAAGAGGAAAACATCGGCCAGGATCTATAATAGTGAGAAACCCAAATCTTTTTTTTTTTTTTTTAACTTTTCATTTCTTCTCTCTCTGTTGCACAGCCTTCTTTTTCATAAATATTTATTAACTCTAATTTTGTAGGAAGCGCTGTTTTGGAAATAAAGATACAAATATTGTTGCCATTTATAGAACTCCCACGTTTATGAGTTCTCAGGCGTGTATGCACGTGCTTGCGCACGAGTGCGTGCACGCACACACACCCCCCTACCCATATGCACGTGGAGGCCAGAGGTCAGCCTCTGGCATCATTTCTCAGGAGCTCTCTATCTTGCTTTGTGAGAGGGCTCTCTCCCATCCTGCAGCTCACCTGTTTATGCTAGGCTGGCCGGCTGGTGACGTCTGGGATTCTCTTCTTGTCTCTTGCCTCTCCAGAGCTGGGATCCCAAACATATGCTAGCAAGCCCAGTTTGTTTGCTGGTGTGGGTTCTGGGTCTTGAACTCGGGTCTTCATGCTGGCAAAGCCCTTACTGGTTGAACCATCTCCCTAGGCTGCCTTCTTTAGTCTGTGTCAACCACACTACTAAATATTGTTAGTATCATATCATCATTGCTGTTTTATGGATGATGAAGCCAGAAAGGCAACATATCAGTCACTTGCCCATGCTAGCACAGCTAATAAGCCACATGTACCTGGGGTAGTGCTTTGAATAGTTATGGTCCCCATAGGTTCATGTGTTTGGATGCTTGACCATAGGGAGTGGCACTATCAGGAGGTGTGGCCTTGCTGGAGGAAGTGAATCACTGTGGGAGTGGCCTTTGAAGTCTCCTAAGCTGAAGCTATGCTCAGTGTGATACACAGTCTCCATGTGCTGCCTGTGGATCAAAATATAGAACTCTCAGCTCCTTCTCCAGCACCACGTCTGCCTGCATACTGCCATACCACTTGCCATGATGATAATGGACTAAAGCTCTGAAACTGTAAGCCAGCCCCAATGAAATGCTTTCCTTTCTAAAGAGTTGCCATGGTCATGGTGTCTTACAGCAATAGAAACCCTAACCAAGGCACTATCTTCTCTGACTCAGCTCAACCATGTTCTACTGAGGCATGAGGCCTTTTGGGAATGTTTCTTCTGAGTCATTTCTGCTTGGGTACAGTCTGAGTTGATGGCTGTCAGACTGCTCATTAGTATTTTCTGTCTTTTCTGGAGGCTGGGTCACTCTGTGGAGATTGGTGTGTTCACCTGGTTTCCTGTGTCACCTCAGGAAATGCCTGATTCCTGTAGCACAGATTATATCTTACAGGAGAAGTGTCTGAGGGAGAAAAGAGACCATGCCACAGCAAAAGATGAAAGAAACAAGAGGTGAGAGTTATGGC